ATGACAACAAAACAATTTTTTTATTATTATATTTTTTTTATAATATATATAATATAATATATATAACATAATATATAATTTATACCAATTTATATAAAAATGCCAAAAATATGAACAAACACATAAAATTATGCAAAATGACAAAATACTAAACTAATAAAATATTTAGTAGTTTAAAACAATTTGGCCAAAATGGTGATAGTTGGGATTAAAGCTCAAATTTCATATTTCTTACTGAGGATTATGTGAGAAACACATTTTAATTGTCATCATCGGGTAATTAAAAGAAAGTGCCCAAGTCTTAGGGCGGGTCAAAATTGGCGTGCCTACAATTAGGTTGTACCCTCTTCGCTGACAAGAGTGGGATTGGAGTACCCATTGCTTACCTACACATATTGACTGACATTGATGTTGTTAGCTCATATGCATGGGGTGCTGCAGCTTTGGCATTCTTGTATAGACAATTAGGACTTACTAGTAGGGCTGGTGTTAAGCAGATTGCTGGTTACTTGAAGTTATTGGAAGCATAGATTTATGAGCATTTTCATTTAGAAAGGCCTCATCCAAATGTCCTATTCTGATGAACAACCTCGTGTCTATCGTTGGTGTCCGCGGAGAGATGGGGGTTTTACAGAAGACCATTTGTAGACATTAAGAGAGCAGCTTGACATGTTACGTGCTAATGAGGTTAGGCATTTTATAATAGTATCATATTGTAAAAAAATAAGATTTCATAACTAACATATTCATTGCCTATTTGTAGATCGAGTGGGATCCATACCGTTTATGTAGAACATACCATCCACTTCATGAGGTTGCATATTATACTGGATGTTTGAAATGCTTTGATATTGTTGAACCCTATCACCCTAATAGGGTTTTGCGATAGTTTGGTAGGGTCCAAACCACCACACCAGCACCATTATCTCCTATTTGAGCTACACGAGGCAGTAAACTAGGATAGTATAGAATCATGTATCAATACCATGACACGATATGGGCGCAATGAGAGAATCATGTGTTGTCCATTATCGCTCGTAGTGTGTCTGTACAACAGCGCCTATCTGAATGTGTACGGGGATACCGTGAGTGGTATGCTCGTGTTTCGCACTGAGTTGTATGCATCACTCTCAGTTTGATCCACATGTTCAACGTCCCGAGAATGATGTTACTATGGATCCTGAGTAGGTAAGCAAATTGTGAATTAACTTATTTCACATTTAAGTGTTTCACTGTAAATCAAACACTAAGTACGATTTTGTTCAATTTCATTTCACTGTAATGATGCTGCTTTCAGTGTTGGTGGTATAGTCCATAGGCTCGGTCGTGATGAGTGTGTCTTGCCCCCTGTCATGCTATATGAAACCATTAGTCGCATGCTGTAAGTTCTTGATGGACAAAGTTTGGGATCTACATCGACACGTACAGAGCATCAAGTCTACTATTGTAAACATCGTAGGATGGACCGTGCATGAGGATTGGGATCTAGTTTTTTTTGATGTCATAGTTATGTGTTGACCGTACATGAGAGTTGGGATGTAGTTTTTGTTTGATGACATAATTTTTGTGAAAGTCTAGCTCGTATAGAGTTTGGGATGTACTTTTGTGTTGACTGTACATGAGAGTTGGGATCTATTTTTATTTTTTATTTTTTATGGCATAGTTTTTGTGATTACGTAGCCCATACAGAGTTTGGGATATACTTTTTCCTAATGGCGTAGTTTTTGTGG